GATATAATTAGCCTCCAAACTCCAAAGCATGTCATGTCGAACTCAAAACTGTGGTTAAATATTCTGGTTTATTGTGGTCCGCTCATTATTTTGTTTTAATGCTAACTAGGTTTGGAATTGTAAAGTTATAAACTTATAAGTGGACGATATATTCCGGTTTTATTTCGGTATTATTCCGAAACGGTATACACAATCTGCCGGTACGGTTTTTTAACAAAAAAATATTTTTCAATTATAAAAACGGTATTTTACTGGTACACAACGATTGAACCACGGTCGTACCATAAAATACCATACCACAGACGAATCCGGTATGACTTCCGGTACGGTTTCCTTTACCATGATGATATCACGTGAAAGCTCGAGCCTCTGTATATCTAATGATGATGGGTAGTAATATTAGGAGAAACATTACAGCTACTAACACTGTCATGTTTTTGGTTCTTTGTTTATTGAATTAATGATTTTTATAATGTGAAGTGGAGTGAGTGTCTATATAGCTAACCTTTTGTTTTTATTTCATTTATAAAAGTCTAAATGCAATGCAGTACCATTGTTGTAAGGTTGATTGTCTAGAACTGCTATTACACCTTGATTAAATGGTCATGATATGCAGTTATATTTTTCTTTCGCTTATCTAAACATATTTGTTTACTTCTTAGGTGCCTATTTACCAAACATGTGAATCTTTCAAAATTTTAAGGATATAATGAGTATTTTTTTTCTTTAATGAATAGTGCACATTTCTTTTCGACTATGAAAATAGTGAAAAGCGTTATGCATGGAAATCCATTATTTAAGTATTGTTTTTTTTTTTTTGTTAAAAGGGTGCAAGCACCACTACCTCAAATTAAGAAATCGAACGGACTACAAATCCGCCAACCGAGTCATACAAAAGCCAACGATCGATGTCAGGATCGGTAAATGAAGTACAAGTAGAGCCAGGGTCTAACAGGTGACCCTTATGAGCTAAACAATCAGCCAGGAAGTTCGCCTCTCTGTAGATGTGCTGCACCTTCACCTCCCAGTCCCTCTCTTGCAAGACACGAAAAGCTAGCACAAGGCTAGCGTGCTGGTGACTGGTCGGAGAGTCCGGCGAGAGGAGATGGAATGCCGTCATGGAGTCAAGCTGAAGCTCGACCTTTTTGTGGCCGGTATCCCACGCCATCTGAAGTCCCTTGAGTGCTCCCCATAGCTCCGCGCGAGTGATTGTGCATCTCCCCAGGTTCATCGAGTAAGCACCTAGTAAGCGACCCTGCCCATCTCGAAGCACCCCTCCTGCAGCGGCTGACCCTGATGGTTGCAGTACAGAGCCATCAGAGTTCACTGTGAGCCACCCTGTCGGGGCCGGTCTCCACCCAACAGCCATGTCTCGACTCGACCCCGACCTCCCCAGTGTAATAACGTGGTCCGCTGCTTTACTTTTTTGTGCAATGATCTCCCAGGCTAGGATCTTTTGCGTAAGCTTACTAGGTGCCTCCTTGATGTCTGAGAAGATGAAATCATTCCGCGAGCGCCATAGAAACCAACAGGTAAAACCAAAGCGCATCTGTGTCTCGGGACTCGAAAGATAGTGCATGAACCAATCCTTAAAGGACCGGCGATCCGTGTGGGAGCTCACTGCCGAAGGCAAGCTCAGCCGCCAGACTTCCCTGGCGTAGCTGCAATTGCGGAAGACGTGCTCTGATGTCTCGGCCACCTGATTGCAGCGCGCACAAGTTCCTGACGCCAAGAGATGCCGCCGCCTCCTTTCCTCATTGGTCAGCAACGAGCCATGCGCCATCAACCAGAGAAAGTGCCGGACGCGGTTCGGGCCCGGCCAACGCCACACCTTCGACCAGCCTGCGTGCGCCTCCTCTCCATGGATGTCAGCCGCCAGCTGGTACGCCGATCGGATAGTGAAGTTGCCCTTGTCTTCGAGGCCCCAGACCACTTCATCCTCTCCCCGTTCCGGGCATGGCGGAGGCATTCCAATAACCTGCAAAGTCAAATCCATCGGTAAGTACCGGGCAATTAAGTCGAAGTTCCACTGACCTGTTTCCAAAGTCATATCCGCCACCGTTGCTTCCGCAGGGAAGCCTTCCTTGCTCGTCCAGGCGTGGTCTCCCAGCACGCAGCCTCCGTCCGTCCATCTATCCGTCCAGAACAAGGTGGTCTTCCCATCCCGCACACTCCACCGCAAGCCTTCCAGCATAGTACCCCAAACCCGGCGCACCCCTCGCCAAAGTTGAGAATAGCGAGAGTGTCTCCGCAGCTCCACCCCTTCAGGACCCTCCCGCAGGTACTTTTCCTTGAGCACTCGGACCCAGAGTTCGTTCGGGTGCTTTAGAATTGTCCAGGCAAGCTTAAGGAAATAGGCTGTGTTCACTTCCCTTGCCGAGCGCAACCCAAGCCCCCCTTGATCTTTGGGAAGACAAATTGTCTCCCAACTCACCAGATGTATTCGGCGGCGACCTTGCTGAGACCCCCAAACAAATGCTCTGATCTTCCTATCCAGGTAGTCACAAACACTAACAGGCAGCATCGCAGTTTGCATCGCGTAGGACGGGAGTGCATTGAGCACCGAGGTGGCCAGAGTTACTCGCCCTGCTAGGGATAGACTGTCCGCTTTCCAACCTGCAAGCCTCTGATCAACCTTGTCCATAATATATTTGTAAGTTTGCTTGGTAATGCGCCCATGCAGGACGGGAACGCCCAGGTACCTCCCCAGGTCCTTCGTCATCGGGATATCAAGGAGATCACTGATGTTCTTACAAGCTTCCCTGTTTAGGTGCTTAGAGAAGAAGATACGCGACTTCTCACGGCTAACCAACTCTCTCGAGGCTCCACAGAAGTCGTGCAAACATTTTAAGATCATCTCAGCTTGGCTAATGCTAGCTTCTGCAAACAAAACTAAGTCATCTGCAAAAAAGAGATGAGTTAGTTCCACACCCCCTCTCACTAGCTGGATCGGACGCCACTTCTTTTGCTGAACCAGGTCCTGGATAAGATGAGAAAGTCTTTCAATACACAGCGTAAAGATGTACGGCGAGAGGGGGCACCCTTGCCTAAGACCTCTCGTGGGGGTGAAAGGCTCCGTGCTGTTGCCACCCCAAAGAATCTCAAACGAAGGCGTTGTTATACAGCTCATCGTTGCTTGCATGAATTTGTCAGGAAGGCCTGCCGCCACAAGCGTAGTTGCTACAAAATTCCAATCCACCCTGTCATACGCTTTGGCCAGATCCACCTTAATCACCATATGACCAGTTTTGCCTTTCCGTGTCTGCATCGTATGCACCACCTCCTGAAGGATGATGATATTATTTTGGATGCTGCGACCAGGGACAAAGCTCGTTTGGTTCGGCTTGATGAGATGGGGCATCATCGGCTTCAACCTGTTGGCCAAACATTTAGTCAGGGTTTTGTATGACACATTACAGAGGCTGATAGGTCGCTGATCAGACACGAGAGAAGGGTTCTGCTTCTTCGGAATGAGCGCCAGCAGGGTGGCGTTGACTTGTGCAACAGTCGCTGGGCAGCGGAAACATTGGGCAATGAAGGTGGAAAATGAGTCTCCAACAGTTTCCCAGCAGCGCTGAAAGAACAAAGGTTGGTAACCATCCTTGCCCGCTGCTTTACAGGATCCCATAGATTTGATCGCAACAAGTACTTCCTCTGGGTGAATGTCCCTCTCTAATGTCTCCATCCCTGGTTCCAAGCTAGGAAAGAATGCCGGGAGGAGATCAGGCATAGTTGGACAAGCAGTGAATAGATCGACGTAGAAATCCCGAACCAATCCCATGAGTTGCTCGTCCTCCTCCACCCATTCTCCATCATTGGACTTTAAACGCCTAATTTTGTTGAAGCTTCTTCTCTTAAGCACAGACAGATGGAAGAATCTTGAATTGCAGTCTCCCTCTTTAAACCATTGCTTTTGGGACTTCTGGTACCATAAAACTTCTTCCTGCTTAAGAACGTCATGGAGATGAACACGAGTCAGCTCCTCTTCTTTGACTCTTTGTGCCGTTGGAGCCTCCTCATTTCGTAGTTCCAAGCGCTGAAGTTTATCCAGCAGTTTGCGTTTCCGATAGAAGATGTTCCCGAACGTACTCCGGTTCCACTGCTCCAGCTCAGCCGTGAGGCTCTGCAACCTGTCACCATAAGCCGTCCCTTTTTCCCACCCGCTAAGGAGGACACGATTGAAGTCTGAATGCAGCAGCCACGGGGCCAGGAAACGAAACAGTTTAGCTCCTCGGTTGCTCTGCCAATGGTGCTCCGAGGAAGTTAGAATAGGGCGGTGATCAGACTTGACTTTCTGGAGATGGCGAGTAACAGTTTCGGGATAGCTCTGCAGCCAAGCCGAATTACACACCGCCCTGTCCAATCGTTCCTTAAGTCCATTCTGGCCATACCAAGTGAATTGAGGTCCAGAAAACTCAGTATCCAGCAAGCAGCAGTCCTCCACCGCTGAACGGAACTCGCGGCTAGAGGCCATGTTGAAACTTGCCCCACCTCTTTTGTCGTCCGGGCTAAGCATCACATTAAAGTCACCAATTAGGAGCCATGGCATGACGATCTGGCCCGCCAGACCTCTCATAGTTTCCCAGAGCTCACGCCTTGAACTGAGTTGCGGAGAGCCATAGACCCCGGAAATCAGAACTTCGTCTCCCGAGTTAAGGCGAAAGTGGAGATGGATGAGTTGGTCCGTTGAAACTTCGTCACAAAGAGCAAGATCACTCGAGTTCCACAGAGCCCAAATCCCGCCCGCAAACCCCCGCGCTTCGACTCGACGGTTGCTGTCGAAACCCATTCTACGAATCACTCCTTCAGCCTCCCTGCCACTAATCTTCGGCTCTGTAATAAAAACTAGTTGGGGATGGTGAATCCTGCAAAATTCACAAAAATATAATAAGAAATCAGGGTGAGCAGCACCCCTACAATTCCAAGCTAAAATACTAACCATAATAAAAAATATAAGGAAAAGCACAAAAGGACACGAGAACTCCCTGGGAATGGGGAGTCTAGGCTGTCTCCACCTCCATCTCAGACGGCTTTGCCGAGCTAGCCGCTGATGGGTTCACATAAGACTCTTGATGCACTCCTTGAGATGTGTCTGCACTGGTATTCAGGTCTAGGCTTCGAGCTACAGGTTTGGAAGGTGGATCAGCACGCCTGGGGGGAGGGGTTTTGGCGGGTACGTACTGTCCCGAGGTGCCATTCGTGCCACTTCCAGCCTGGTTGGGAGTTTTACTTTGCATGGTCTGTTTACGACCAGTCTTAGGCACTTCCTGCTTCTCCCCTTGTTTTCTTTTGTCCGCCTGATGGCTGACTAATCCTTTGTCCTTCCCACTGCTTTTATTTCCTTGTACCCCAGTGCCCTCTTTTGCTTTGGGTTGGACATTGGAGGCCGCCTTTCCCCCTTCCTTGTTTTTCTTTTGCACTTTTGATGCCTCATTGTTATTCACCACTGAGGAATTCTTCACAACCTGGTTCTTGTTCGAGCCTCTCTTTGCTCCCACACTATCCCGACTCAGGCGTGGTTCCCCTACCAAATCCGCTTGGCCAGCCTCAGGAGTGACCTCCTCATCAACTCTCTTGTTTGTCTCTGCTAGCACTGTAGCATGCTCTCTCAGTTCATCATTTAGCGATTCTAGCGCCTCGAACCGCGAGCCCGATGGGACGGACACTTTCCTAGCAGCTGTATTAGCCTCGGTTCCCACCACTTTTTGGTTATTATGCACCCTTCGACGTCGATTACTGGTTGCAATCATCCAGGGCCCATAATCTTGGAAAATCTCCGGCCGTTCTTCCTCGATTGTAGACTGGGAAGGGTTAACATGAGATGTACGGAAATCCTCCTCAGAAGGGGTCTCCATTTTCTTCTTAGGGCATACTTCTTGTTCGTGACCATATCTCCCGCACTCGAAGCAAACCTTATGCAACCCCTCATACTCGACTCGCCTCGTCCTTCTTTCTAGTCGGTATTTACACACTAATGGTTTTGCAAGGTTGACTTCCACACAAATTCTGGCAAAGTGTCCTCTCGAGGCTTGTCTTGTAGCTTCATCCATTTTGATATATCTTCCCAAGGAGTTCCCGATATTCCTCAATAGCTCCTCATCATAATAATCCATTGGGATCTTGGGGAGACGTGCCCAAACAAGCGTGTGAGACAGTTCCTCCTCGCCCGGTTCGAAGCCCCTGCGCCATGTCCTCGTAAGGACATAGTGGTCTTCTATCATCCACGGTCCGCCGTTCAATGCCCTAACATAGTCATGCTCGGTAGAGAACCGAGCTGAGTAAAAGCCCTGTCCCATTGCTGCTATTGTCACTGGACCAGTGCATGCCCACATTGTTTGGAGGCGACGCTGGATAAACAGAAAGGGGAACGAATGTCCCAGGACCCGCACAATGATAGCCATGCGCCAACGCTGATCTCGACGGCGGTTAAAGCCTTTTGGGATTTTGACTTTGGGGCAGTCAGGTTCCCCTTCACTATCGCTGTCCATGGGGTCCTCCTCTTCATCGTCCCCATTCTCTTTCCCATTCACGTTCGCCTGCTCTGCACCCTTTCCCAGAACTGTATCCTTGTAGGATAGAGAATTCCCTTTTTGAGCAGACGGCGATGTTGGCGAGGGTATCGTCGCCTCACTGGCCGGGCAAGACTGTGCTCCCGCTTCACTCGCATCTTTTTTGTTCTCAGCTGAGTCACTGCGTGCCAAAGCAATCGACGTTTGTTCCTGGTCCAACATCATCGGACCCTTACCCGTAACATCTGTATCGCTCTGTGTTTTTGGACGTTTAGAAATCTGCACCGGTGAGGCTGAAGGCTCCCCACTATGATATACAAAGTGGTATCCTATCGATATATTTAGTTAAAATATTTTCCGATCATGTATACCATCATGGTATATTTTTGTACCATCATGATTTATTTTCTATACAACATAGTTATAGATAGAACACCTCAAATAATGTACTTTATTTTACTCAAATATATCACATTGATGTCATTTTTTAAGATACAGTTAATTCAACTCTCTATGAAAAATATGAATACAATTTTAAACGAATGAGATATAGTGCGTAAAAAATCAATGGGAAGTGGTTATGCAATTGTGTATGAATTTGGGTTTTAAATTTATAGCTAATTAATTGCTCCCACCATACAACAATTAACTTTTGTCTTTCGTAAAAACAACAAATATTCGTAATTCTTTGCATTTTGCTTTTACTTCATTAGGGTATGTGTTTTTTTTGTTGAAAAAGCCCAGTCGCTACCTTTTCATAGACATTTGTATAACAACTTTGCTCAAGGCGTCATCGTTCCCAAATTCATTCGATATATATATATATATATAACTGTTTTAGTTGGCCTTCAACAATCTTCCCTCTTCATTCTTTTCCAATCTAAACCCATTAATCACTCTATGCTAACCACTAGTTAAGTTATGTAAATTGTTTGTTCGAATGCCTATGAGAGAACTTAATTGCATGATATCCATGGACCAGGAAACCGGATCGTACCGGCCGGTTCAACCGGTTCAACCAGAAACCGGATTAGAAACGATACGGTAAGCTGTTTGTGAGCAGAATATCGTGCCGGCCGGTTTTTCCGGCTTAACCGGTACAAAATGAAATATCGCCCGGTTTTGGTATAACCGGCGGTAGACTGTAGGCAGAAAAATGACGTCGTTTAGGCACATCAAATTATATATAAAAAAAAAAATTCGGCCAAAGGCCAAAATGCAAAAACCCTAATCTAATGAAAAGCCCCTTTCATAGTTTCTCTTTCCCAGCGCAGTTCCACCCCGCCCCGCCGCTCCTCCTCTTCTCCTCTGGCCACTGGCGACCTGCGAGCTGTGACCGGCGACTCGCGACTGGCGGCCTGGGACCGACGACTGGCGGCCTGCGACCAAAGACTCGCGACCAGCGAAAGCTCGAAAGCAACCCGCGACCCATGACCCTGATCCGCCGAACCGATCCCTGCTCTGCCACTATGTCGTTCGTCTTCTCTGCTCTGGCGAGTGGCGACCGGCGAAAGGTCGTGCAGATCCCTGCTCTGCTCCGCCGCTCCTCTTCACTCCTCCTCAGCCCCGCCGCCTGCTCGAGCCTCCCTCCCCTGCTCAAGAACGCGAGACAGCCTGTTACTGTCGGCGGCGGTGACTGTCGATTTGGGGAAGGAGATAAAATCGCCGATCAGATTGACGGAGGAAGCCAGAAAAAGGTCGAATCTGCATCTGAAAGAGACTTTGTTCATCATGTAGATCTTGAACTGTGGGGGAGGGTATTGGTCGGCAGAGGGATATGAAGAGCCGGCGAAGGGAGAGCTGGCGGAGGGAGGGAATTGAGGCAATATATGATCGGGGAGAGAAATCCGCCGTTGGTGATTCTGCATGCAAGAATCGGGACATGGATTGATCCGTTGCCGCCGCCTCTCCGTTTCGTTATTCATCCGAGAAACCAATTGATGGAGCACCTTGCGGCGAGCAGCCAAGGCCAAATCTCACTGCTTGATATCTTCTTTCCATCCCCTTCAGCTTCTAACTTCCCAGCCGTCACCAGATCTGTTGTCAATAGCATGCAGTACCCTCTCTATGTTTAACCAATTGGTTCATATTTGGTATGCTCGGAGGAAAAGGGGAAAGTTATGTAATTAAGGAATGGATTATTGGTGAGAGAGAGAGGGAGGCTGGGAGGGAGAGAGACAGAAAGGTTTGAAGGAGAAGGAAGTTTCACCATCGAGTGGGTTTTAAACTAGTAAATTAAAATAATGGACACTTTAATCGTTTGATAACTGTTAGCGATATAATTAGCCTCCAAACTCCAAAGCATGTCATGTCGAACTCAAAACTGTGGTTAAATATTCTGGTTTATTGTGGTCCGCTCATTATTTTGTTTTAATGCTAACTAGGTTTGGAATTGTAAAGTTATAAACTTATAAGTGGACGATATATTCCGGTTTTATTTCGGTATTATTCCGAAACGGTATACACAATCTGCCGGTACGGTTTTTTAGCAAAAAAATATTTTTCAATTATAAAAATGGTATTTTACTGGTACACAACGATTGAACCACGGTCGTACCATAAAATACCATACCACAGATGGATCCGGTATGACTTCCGGTACGGTTTCCTTTACCATGATGATATCACGTGAAAGCTCGAGCCTATGTATATCTAATGATGATGGGTAGTAATATTAGGAGAAACATTACAGCTACTAACACTGTCATGTTTTTGGTTCTTTGTTTATTGAATTAATGATTTTTATAATGTGAAGTGGAGTGAGTGTCTATATAGCTAACCTTTTGTTTTTATTTCATTTATAAAAGTCTAAATGCAATGCAGTACCATTGTTGTAAGGTTGATTGTCTAGAACTGCTATTACACCTTGATTAAATGGTCATGATATGCAGTTATATTTTTCTTTCGCTTATCTAAACATATTTGTTTACTTCTTAGGTGCCTATTTACCAAACATGTGAATCTTTCAAAATTTTAAGGATATAATGAGTATTTTTTTTCTTTAATGAATAGTGCACATTTCTTTTCGACTATGAAAATAGTGAAAAGCGTTATGCATGGAAATCCATTATTTAAGTATTGTTTTTTTCTTAAACCTACTCTAAGTGATCCAATTATTATGTAAAAAATGGTGTGGACGGTTATAATATGTAAAATATTAGTTTTCTTAATATTATATTATTTTTTGATTTTTAAATTTTTCGATAATATATGTATTAAAAAAAAATTAACCTCCAATGCTCAAATCCTGTCTCCAACCCTGCCTTCTACTACTACATATCTCCTTGAGCAAACCCACCGACGAGCTTATAAATAAAGTTTAGCTTGTAGAAATTCGTTTTGACAATTATTTGCATTATTATGTTTCTTCGTCGGTGAATCCGAACTTGCATAATTGAAGTTGTTGCTTTAAAAGCTTCTTGTCCTCATCTCCTCTCCCTCTACTGTTCTTTGCTTCGCTTCCTTCTCAAACAAAGAGACACAACTCACCCAAGAGCATTTCTACTATGCTATATAGTATTGGTGTTTTAATGTATAACTTAAAGTTGTACCATAACATGAAATGTATAAGTTTAGATTGTACCATTAAAGAATTTGTACCATTATGTTATGGTACAACTTTACAACTTGAAGTTGTACCATCACATAAAGGTACAAGTTCAAGTTGTACCATAAAGAGTTTGTACAAACAGTATAGGTATAATCTAAAGTTGTACCATAACGTTAAATGTACAATTTCAAGTTGTACCATAAAGGTAAAAACCTATAACAGCAATACTATATAGCATTGTAAAATTCCTCCTCACTCAATCCTAATTAATCAACAAAATTTGCCAGCTCCCATATGAAAGGAAAGAAAGAGAACCCACACCCCACAACAAGATTTTATCCTCAATAATTATTATGTTTCCGAAAAGTCTCCATAAATAAATAAATAAACAAACAGATTGAAAAAGACAGTCCATTACGACGATCGACCTCCACTTGGCCACCAAAAAAAGTCTTGCTCCCAATTTGTAATGGTCACAATGTTTACACATCCACACAATATCTCATCACCATCATTATTTCCCCCTCTCCCTCCTATCCAGCAACAAAACCACCCAAAAATATCCATACACAATATAGGCGAAAAAAAAGGAGTCCAAATTATTATCACAAAGAAGAAGATTAAGGTGGAATCATAGGCTGCTAATCAACTAAGTTGTTCAGAGTGATTTGATGATTAACTCGAGTTAGATTAAGAAAAATTAAAGTTCGACTTGTTTATTTACAAACAAAGTTGAGTTAAGCCTTGTCCAGCTCGTAAGCAAGTTCGACTAGGTGGCTTGTTGAGCTAAATAGTCTCATTTTGAGCTCATCATCATGAGATGCTTCAACATTGTACCTGGCAAGCCAACTCGACTACCACGGCTTACGAGATAAGTAATTTCCGTTTTACCAGTTAGCGCTTGTCGATGATTCATATGTTTATAGAATTTTTATACCTCACGCTACATGACGTATAATATATACCTTGACGGTGTGAGCAAATATGTCTCATATATGACATATAAATATTCGGGTATATAGGGCTTGTTTGGAAGTTGTGATTCTTCAAATTGATGTATTGAGACAATTAGTGTATTATCATTTGATGTATTGAATCAATTGATGTATTAGGCAAATATCTTGTTTGGAGGTTTAGATTGTGGTTTTGTGCTAAAGGTAAAAAGTTAGTTTTGAGTGATTGTGAAGAATCTCAACAAAAAGTAGAGATTGTAAATCCCTCAATATTGAGTGATTGTGGTGGGGCCTCCAAAAAGTAAATGCATGTATTCTAGTTCTATATAAGTAAAAAAAACGACTTAATCTCACAAATACATGAATTAGGTCAATACACCATTTGAAATCACAGCTTCCAAACGACCCCTATAATTTCTAAATTATCTTGAGCTCAACCTGAACTCTCGATCCTAATGATAACACAAAATTTTTAATAAATGAATCAAATCTTATATGAATCGACTTCAACTTGACTCAGCTCGTTGATAAACAAGCCAAGTCTAGCTTGATCTACTCGTTCATTAACGAACCAAATTTAAACAAAACAAAACTCAATCCAAACTCATTAACAACCCTAGGTCCCTATCTATACATATATGAAATAATATATATGTGCAATAATTTTTATAATAGACTCCTCTCCTCTCCTCTCCTCTCCCCACCACACCCTACTTCCCCCACATGATCATGGAACCAGAAAATGGGATCCGCAGCAGCCATAGCCAAATGCTCAATTTCCTCCTCCAACAAAACACCAATAACAAGCCCTCTTCCTCCTCCTCCGATCCCAGTTTCCCCAACTCCTCCTCCTCCTCCTCCTCCCAATTCTTCCATCCCCAGTCCCACCACCACTCCTCCTCCGCCGACAACAACCCACCTCCTCCTCCCCAGCAACCCAAGAAGCCGCCGCCGAAGCGGGCGTCCACCAAGGACCGCCACACCAAGGTCGACGGCCGCGGCCGCCGGATCCGGATGCCCGCCGCCTGCGCCGCCCGGGTGTTCCAGCTCACCCGGGAGCTCGGCCACAAGTCCGACGGCGAGACCATCCAGTGGCTGCTCCACCAGGCCGAGCCCGCCGTCCTCGCCGCCACCGGCACCGGCACCATCCCCGCCAACTTCGCCTCCCTCAACATCTCCCTCCGCACCTCCGCCTCCTCCACGCTCTCCGCCCCCCACCACCGCACGACGATCGGTAGCTTCTTCCCCGGCCAAGATCCTTCTTCTAATTCCCCGCTCTTCCTCCACGGCGTTCCCACCAAGCACCATTTCCACGTCGGCGGTGATGACGTGGCGGCCGGTGCGAGGGTAGAGGAAGGGGAGGAGGAGTCGCGGAAACGCGACGGCGGCAGCGGGGACAAGCAGTTGTTTTCGCTTCAACACCAGCACCAGATGATGGCTGCGGCGGCAGGGAGCATGAGTTACTTGCTGCAGTCGAGCAGCGCCGGGGCGATACCGGCGGGACAGAGTGGCGGCGGCGGTTTGTTTCCGGGTACGTTTTGGATGATGAGCGGGTCGGCTGACCCGATGGCTGCCTTCCCGTCTTTTGGCGGCGGTGGTCAGTTGGGAGTTCTGGCGACGCTGAATGGGAACCGCCACGGCGGAGGAGGAGGCGGTGAGGAGCGGCGGGAGGAGGATTCGACCGCCTAGGTCGATTTTTTTTTTTTTTTTTTGTCATAGATAGTTTGTAATAGATAGTTCGTTACAATGCATTGGAAAGATAAAGGCGGTAGTCAACCATACGGGTTGCTACCGATGCAAGGGCCATTTGCGCCACGCGATGGGCAGCCCTGTTAGTACACCTAGGTCGATTTGGCCACGGTTTGTTTTAAATTAAATTAATTAATCATCGGTTATTATATATCTCAATATATACCTCGCGGGAGATTAGTATATAATTAATTAATTAATTAAGTTGGCGATTTGGCAACTACAAATTGCAAGTGTAGGGGTGTGTGTTTGTTTGTGTGTCCAATTTTAGAGTGAGATTTGTATAATAGGCGAATTGTTATTGTAGCTCTAGGGTTTCAGGATGAACTAATTCTAGTGGTTCTGTTTGTTTTCGTGTTTTATTACCAATATGAATTTCTGGCAGTTTTGCATCGTGTTTTTTATGGGATTGGAATCACAACGAATTAAACACAATAAATCAAGTAATTACCATTATGATGTTAAATGCAATTAAGATTCTAATTAGATGTGATTATGTAATTATGAGCGTGATTTACACATTGTTAATTATAAGAGGCCCATGTATACATAGGAGTAGGACTGTAGATGTGTGATAAATGTAAGATAGAAATTGTTGTGTTGGTGGTGTGACGATATAATGGAGGATGCGGATGCCTTTTCTTTGTCACTGTTGCGATATCTTCTTTCTGCATTTCCCTAAACTAGTAGCTAGAAAACATGCACCACCAGCTGCTACTGATTACTGCATAGGGGTGTCACTTCGGGTCGGGTTCGGTTACATCTAATACTGCATATATACCAGGCGTTGTACATACAAAAAAACATTTGTTATTTACTTGTAACTTCGTGATTGACTAACTACTACACCTATGCAAGGTTCAAGAAGGTATTAGATGTAAGACGGGTGTTGGGGACTTTGTTTAGCGTCTAGATCGATCCTTTAGGTGTGGCCTAACTGCCTAAGGGTGCTTAGATTTCGGAAGAAAAATTTAGCAATTTATACTATATAATATATAACGAATGAAATAAAAAAATTTACATCACTCCCTAGCTATTTCAATTCAAATGATTAGTAATTTATCAACACTTAACAACAAGAAACGTAGCTCACAATTTCGTATAATCATAACTAAACAACTTATAATTAAGATGTTGAGCTATTGAAATTATTCATATATATATATGATCGAGTTTAATTTGTAGACGATGTTGATTCCCCCTCCTTTAATAGCGACTTCCTAGCTCAATCTAATTATTGCTTAGGCAACATCTAGGCGTCGTCTCCTTACTTCACGATGTGTTTGTTGGTTCCTAACTAGCCGCGGCGAAACCCCTGCGGTGAGACGTTTTGGTGCTGCCCATCACCTAGACATGTCTAAACGTAAAGTTTAATTAAGCGCGTTTTTTGAACCATATACATATACGCAGCTGTATATAGTAGGCTTAGCTATTTCTATTCATTTACACTGTCTCGACGAACTATTTTTACTATCTGTACGTGCACGCGATCGATCGAATCGATGGAGCACTATCATATATGATCACCATATCTACGTACGCAACTGCCAATTTCATGCGTATGCATATTTGCTCGCTGTACGACGACATGATGAGGCTATCTATCTCTCTATCTATCTACATTTATGAATATTAAAATAAATATATTGCATGCTAGTTTCAAACCTAATGGTAATCGGGGTACCGAAAACTCGAGTTTGGAGAAGGTTATGCTGGATCTTATAGAGGCCAATATATGGTACTTAACCACTTCCTTACATGTCCCTCCTTCAAACGAAAGCCGACTCATGGGCTTGAAGTTTGCACAGGCCCGCCATACCATGTGCTTGAAAGACAGTGGTTAATATTGCGGGGTCGTGAAGACATGAACACGTGACCTCACGAACAAACCGGCTCTGATACCATACCATGTCAAGAACCAATTGGTCCCAATAACTCGAGTTGTTAGGATAAGATTGTGCTGGATCTTATACATGTTCATGTATATATGCTACTTAACCCCTTCCTTACAAGACCAATCGTAATTTTTGTTACAGACTTACTAAAATATTATTGGACGTTAATAACTTTATTAGATATCCATGAATTTCCTTTTCACTGTGCTCTTCATGTTGGTCAATGAAACATTTTTTTTTACAGAGAGAATATAAAGTACGAACTAGCAAGTTAAGAGAGAGAGAGAGAGAGAGAGAGAGAGAGAGAGAGAGAGAGAGGTGCATGGTGTGGGGCTACATAAATGTTTCTGAATAATGCATGGTCCAACCACCCAAAATTGTTATGACTTTTTTCGTGTATATATATATATATATTTTTTTTTTGTGTGTGTGTAAAAATTGGGAGGGATATTTGATTGGAGTGGAAAATTTTGCTTTCATTTCATGTATGTCTGCCAATATGCCTGCCTGCCTGCCTCTGCTATGCTGTTGCTCAGAATTGGGCAATGGTGGTGGGGGAAAGGATTGTACATTTTTGCATAAGAGTTGTAAATGCATTTGTCAGTACCATCTGTTTTTTCCTCTTTACCTTACTGCTACTTTTTTTCTTTTCTTTCCATTTCTCTCATTATTTGTTTGGCTTCCTCCTACTGTAGAATTTCAAAACCTAGCTACTATGCATTTGAATTTTGTGTTGGGAGCAAGGTTGTTAAACCCCTATTGAACCCCGGTTGGATCCGATTCGACCTGAGTCGGACTTCAAAACGGCCTCCAGAAAGCTCCCCGATCTGAACCCTAAAGAGGGAGAAGAAGGGAGGGGGAGGAGAGGAAGAGGAACGGAGGAAGGGAGATGGTAGGTGGATCATGGAGTTTAGATAGATTTATTTTATGAAAAATAAGTTTTTAATAGATATATATGTGAGATAAATTTTATTTCAGTCATTAAATCTTTAATTACTACCTTATTCGTATCTATATTTAGAAAACGTCTAAAACGGCTCAAGCCGGCCGAACCCCGATCAGACCATTAAACCTCAAACTCCTTGTTTGACCGGATCAATAACTTTATAGGTGGCAATTAGGATCCAAATCCATGAATCCAATCCAATCCATCCACCAAATTATCCACCTAATCCAATCCATTTGATCCAAATCCAATTGGATTGGTGGATTCATGGATCAATCCATGGATCCAAATGACAAATTACGATTTGGTACCTATATTTTTTATATTTTACATTTTGGTACCTAAAATTTATATTTTTATACGAAAAATATCATTGGAAAATTACATTTTGGTACCTAAAAATTTTCATTATGACATTTTAGTACCCAAAACTTTTCAAATTTTACATTTTGGTCCAAGCCTTGGATGTCATTTGGATTTATGGATCAATCCACCAATCCATTTGATCCAATCCATGAATCCACCAATCCATTTGATCCATGGATCCACCAATCCAATCTACGAATCCACGAATCCGATCCAATTGCCACCTCTAAATAACTTACACCGGTTTGACAATCTTGGTTGGGAGGTTAAAGCAACAAAAGACCAGAGGATGGTGTTGGCGTTGGATGGGTGTGGGGGGAATCATTTTCCTTAAATGGGTTGTGTTTGGATTTCATGTTTCTTTCCAGGGTCTTACCAGCAACTAGGGCTGGGAATGTAGACCAAACCGTATGACAAACCGCGGTTTAGACCGTACCGTACGATTTGGTCCGGACCGTTAGACCATGAATACAATTTGGTCTGGTCCATGGTTTGCTTCTTTCACTTGTGGTCTGGAACGGTTTGGTCTGGTCTAGACCGTGGTTAACCGTCCAGACCGTGACAAAAATTAACTATGGGCTGAGCCCAACTAGGCAGCCCCAGCCTTACACATTTCAATGGCCAAAGCCCAATTTCATTGCCCACAGCCCACCATAGCCCTAGCTGCGTGCCTGCGTGCTTCCCCACCCTCCCGCTGTCCAGCAATTCGGCTGCTGCATGCGCCGTGCTTCCCCATCGCAACTCGCTCGAGCCTCGAAGTGAGAAGGGAGAAGGAGAAGGAAAACGGAAAGGTGAACCCCAATCGTCGACTTTGCAGGCTAGCACGGAGCTTCGTCTCACCGACTTTGCAGCCCCAACCCCAATCGTCGCCTCGCGCCCTCGCCTCCCCGTCTCCGATTATCCATCATCCGCCCCACCGCCGACTTTGGAGCTTCGTCGTTGACTATCAAGCTCCATTGCACGGTTGCTATTTGTCTCCATTGCCTTCCACCATAGCCATCGACCTCCACCATCCTTCTCTTCTCAGGCTGCTCCATCACCATCGACCTTCACTGACTGGCGACTGCCATCAACCTCCGCCGACCACCATCGAACCTATCTATCTCTATAGCCATCGACGTTTGCAATTCTTCCATTGACTCCACCATTGTTTGCTGCCGCTGCAACAGAGAACCAAAATTATGGAAATAATGATTGACTGTTCTTCCATTCCCCTATGTTTGTTCTTCATTCCCCAATTCAAACTGTTACTAAATGGCCCTCTGCCTATTATTCAGGCTAGCAAAAGAGCTCGTTACAAAGTTAGCTCTGGATAATACAGGTTTTGTTGAACATGGTCTACTCGGTCCAGACCGTACCGGACCGCACCGCACAGGCGTGGTCTGGTCTGGACCGTATAGGTTATGGTATGGTTTATGGTCTCTGTTCTACCCTCACGGTCTGGACCGCAGACCGTGTATATGGTCTGGTCTGGACCAGACCGCACCGTTTCCCAGCCCTACCAGCAACCACTTCCAGATTCCAGAAGGAGGGACTAAAGATGATCTATATCAATAGTTGAGGCTGAGCTTATTATGTTGAAAAGTTAGTATACTAAGTATTGTGATTCATGATTGTTATTAGTTTACGATTAGATAAAAAAGAAATAAGATAGATTAGAGGTTTGGTCTTAGTGGTAAACTGGTAATACTATTAGTTTTGAATCTAAAAATCATAGGTTTCAAATTTCTTTTAATAACTATAAAAAGTTCCCTTGTTAAAAAAAACTATAAAAGTTAAACTATGTTAGTCTTATTTATTTATTTATTTCATTTTGAACAAAAAATAATTGAAAAATGAAAAATGAATTTCAGGTCCAAAAATTCATTTTTTAATTTTTTTATTCAAAATGAAAAAATAAATTGTAATAGGTGGAAAATATAAAAAAATTTAAG